ACGACTCGTCCGGTCAGAGATTTTTAACCCGAGTATCGACTAAATATTTCATATAGAAGATTCTGTAAACATTCAACGGAGCCATTGGCAATCGTCCAGTGTCTGGGCACGACCTCTCGCCCCGGATTCCGTTCGCGATACAACGAACTAGTAGGAAGAGAAGTGGCATGATTTAAAACTCGTTACCTTTCGCCGATCCCGATGGGCGGAATACAGAATCCAGATAATGTAGGACACCATTATAATGGCCGGTATGCAGACGCCAGCTATAGTCGACGTGTCCCGCAAAAGCGCATGATGCAGCGCCAGCAACGTGATCGCAAGCGCCGCTCCGCCAGCGAGGTATCTTCCGGTCCGTCCTCGCTCGTCCTGCCAACAAATCGCGAATATCCGATCAGTGGTCCCTGACACTGTGACAACGGCTCTCCAGGAGAATTTATGGCAATTGTACGGTGATACTCTTAACACTAGACACTGTGGAATTTTATCTGCTTTTCATGTGAAATCATTTTGATCGTGATACGACTTTATCGATCCTGAAAACTATTTGTTCGGTACGTTATAAGTTTTCAATCTAGGTTGACTCAATTCGTTGTTTGTTAATATCGAGTTCGATTGGTGGTGGAAATTTTGTATTGAATTCGATGAATAAATTTTAATCAATGCAGCAATAAATTGCAATAAATTTTAATCGATTGTATTATTCCTGTACTAATGTATAAACTTTGTGTAGAATATATTTAGTCCTTTAGTGGTAATACAGTACTTTTTCTTACTGACAGTTTATTGCTAGTGATAATTTGTACATTTTTATGAGTTTAATTTAGAGAAAACTAAAGGCAAAGTATGTAACGGAATTGTTGTAAAGACAAGATATTCAACCATTCAGTGATCTTCCAGGCTACATGAGATTCACAGGGGTTGCAAGTGCACCTTGTTTCCCAAAAGCGTCTCAGAAGAAGTTAAAACGACGATACGCTTAACTCACTTAGTTGCACTTTTAATTTCCTCTCTCTTATTCGTCTCTTCGTTCTTTTTAATACACCTGTCACTCAGCCAGGATAAACGGGCACCGTATAAATTCCGCGCTTTACGCAAAATATGGTGTACGATGAACGCTGCGGCGGGAATGGACGCGGTTCAGTAAAAATTGCTGCTATAAAACCTGATCCTGAAGGAGGAAATACTCCTTCCGCGGTCTAAAAGGGATATACCGCCTGTATAACTAATAGGAATAGATTTATGTACGGTAACTAACGATAAAGTATACGTTCGAGCGAGACCACCGAGGACGCACGCGTGTTTTCGAGGGATAGAATGGAAATAGAAAGAGGTCATTGCGGACGGAGTGAACCGGAAAATTCTGAGCGGTGACCCACGATCCGTGGTTGTAAGACTAAACAACAGAAGTCATATATTTTTAGAGATATGACGGTTCGAAGTTCGAAATATCTTCCCGCTGTGTACTCAGTCATTATCCCGCGTTTGTATCCCGAGAAAATAACATTTTTAAATCATATCGACGAACACTTAAACACATATCTTCTGCGGCAACATGATACATCATAGATCAAGGATCCGGCCGAAACTTCTGAAAAGTATGACTTACGTCAGTTCGCCTCGTAGCCGCGGCAATAACAGTTCGATATATTTAGCGGGCTGTAATGGCTTCGGAAAGCAATTAAAATGGATAGGGACGTCATAAATATAAAACTACAGGGAATAAATTCGCCAGGGAGATTGCGTCCGACATAAGATTTCAGACGACGTGTGTCGATAGCGTCGGAATCGAGATAGAAGCTAGCCCAGAAGGAGAAGGAAGAATCATCGAATTCAATGAAAGCGTATTGTAATAGATATCGTAGATATCGTGCCTGCGCAGAAAATAATTAACTCGACTGTTCACATAACGTCAATTGAAGGTTACCAATGTGTTGCTAAGTAGTCCCTGCTATACAAAATGATTTTCATTTCAAAAATACAAATTTTGTGCAAAGAAATTCCGTTTCTTTATTTATATAACGTTAAAATTGAAACGCAAAATATCCATTGTCATTGAAAAATCTTCATAGTATGGTCATAATGTAAAAAAAATATAACCACCTTACCTTTAGCTCTATATCTTACAAATCTTGTCTGAAGTATTGTTTTATATCACTCATACTTTTTAAGTTACCAAGTTTTGTCTAAAAAACGGGCGTTTGGCCGCTCTGTGTGGTTTGTGCTTCACTGCGCCATAAGTTGCTCTAACGATATTGTTTGAAAAAAAATGTCCTCGAATAATAACAATAATTTTTAGTAATAATAATAAATTTTACTGATTAAAACACTGAAACTGCATGTCCAAAGAGAGATGCGGAGTATGCAAAAGAGGGGCCGACTATAGTCGTTCGTCGCATGTACGTGGCATCTCATGTAGGGCGACTATGGTCGCCCATAGTAGTGAAAGGGTTAACAAGATTCGCTCGGCGGATCCGAAGAATTTTGAATCCCGAACAAAGAACGACGAGAAATAGGAACGGATGGCAGGGTGAAATTTATTTATTCGAACGCGGAACGTTGGGATTTCGTTAACCCGGTTCCCAGCTCGTCGGTCACGGTTCGACGGAGTCGTCGCACGGCGACAAGAAAAATAGTGGAGGACAAACAAAAAACATAGGCACACGGACGCACATGCAAACACCATCCCCATTGGACGGCATTAAATTTTAGGATAGCGATCGCAGCCGAAGTGACAGCTCCATTTCCATTCGCGCGACGCCGAAGCAATTTAACATGTCGCCTGGCTATTTTGCATTTCCCGTTGTTTCGCTACGCGTGTGTATACGACGCGGGCGTGTATATAAATATACACGGGGTGTCTTGTATTAATCAATCCGCGAAATTGGCTAACGTATTACTCATAGGTTAGATTTCACGGATGCCGATTTTGTTTTTGCAAGTGGCGGTGCGCCGAGATTGCGAGATGACTTCCGGTTTCTTGAATGGAATTATATATTTTCGTTTAGCTAGGCTTGTTAGCCCATTTCGAGACCTATTTGTTGATCCACGATCTGTTGATCTTGGGATCTTTGTTTGATTTAAAGTCATTTACGATCGCTTAAGCTCCCTCTTTGTAGAAAACTTAGAGGCGTGTTATAAACATCCCTTATCTGGTGTATTCGGAGAAATGATTTTGTACGTTAATCAAGAAGATGATTCTATTCTTCAATGACAGTTCCGTGAATACATAAGATTACATTAACCCTTTGCAATTGAAAGGCGACTCTCAGTCAATTGATCTGGTACAGTAACATTTGGAAAGTTTTATATTTAACGTGAAACTTAGTATAATACATCAGTATGTGAAATATTAAAACAAAACAGCTTTGTGGCAAGTGGTAAGTGCCTCTTAAACCTTTTTCTTCTAAAGACTCCTTAAGAAACAATCTGCAGATAATTAATCAAAGACTAATACATTTTTCGCCAGTTAACTTGTCACGTGAACTGATTAGAATAAGGTACCGTATGTACTGTAAATGTAATGTTATCTATACAGGGACGCGTATAAGTATGTACACACACGCGTGTCGCACCGGAATCACGCGAGCACGACCACCGACGTTTACCTATTATTATCATATTCAAATTGAACCACCACCGGATGCAGATATGTACCGCCGGCACGGAAACGGCGTGCGCCCTGATCTATTTTGCCCGTAAGCCGCGTAAGCAGCACATAGAGGCGTGCGTCGCAAATAAGCGAATATCCGAGCCGTCTGCAAATTCCCGTGCTACCCGATGTCTATGGCATCGCTCGAACAGATGCCGAGACTATTTATTCCATCGAACTAGATATCGTTGATCGACGATTGTCCGGAGTCACAGGGATTCCGCGAGATTCATCACATAGTATAAACCTGGAAACCATAGCTGCCACCTGCCCGCTGCGAGGATTAGTGACGCGTGTATCGATAATTCGAGACTGAATGTGTTCCTTCCGAATGAACGAACGTTACTATTTGATTAACGGATCCGACCGTTTTACGAGTAAAATAAATGTTATCCTTCGCCCTTCGAAATAGACGTTGGAACTCCGCAATTGATAACGAAGTCCCTTTTGGGGGTGTACTTTGAAGAGAACATTTTTGCAATGTTGCTTTTCTTATTTCATTTCTCTTTAAAATAATCGGGTTCTTATTTATCTGATAGAAAGTTTCGCGTTTTGACAGTCCTACTGTATCTCTGAAGTAAATATTATTAAAATTCAGTTTAAAATTGAAACTATATCTTTAGCTGAATTAATAAATCTATCAGAATTTGCTTTACCAAGGAACTATCAATGATTGTCCAGTAAGTAAATTCAATAAATTAAGCTGAACTTAACAGGAACATATACGAAGTGAATATTATTATATATTTACCCAAATCTATTTGACCAAAAAGACGATAAATCATTCTTCACCGAACAAGCAATCCAACATTTTTTTGCGAAAAACAGTGCCGAAAAAAGGAACTAACCGCAGTGGAGACGGTGTTGAGCGTATCCCTCGACGAGGACGATGCTTCCGATCTGAGAGGCATGGCCGTGACAATGACATAAAGCACCTTCCCCCTTGACAGATTTAAATAATCCCACGGCTTGGAAATATTCCGGAGTATATTCACCGAACAGCCTTCCTGTTCCCGGCACGCGTGGATTCCGCGCACCGTAGCTGATTCAATCCCGAAAATCTTTCTTGGATTCAGCCGGCGACAAGAACTGTCGTCGAGGAGCGAAAAAAATCTGCAAACGCCGCGAGAATCGTTCTCGCGGGCATTTTATCGCCCCGCAAGCTTCCCAGCCGCCCCACGAAAGGAATGATCCGAAGAGGGCGCCGAAAAGTTCCTCGCAGCTCCCCAGAGTCTCAGGAAAAACACAGTGTCCGGAATTCCACGGCGAAATTTACGAGCATAGTCGTCGGGGAATGAAACGTTTGCCGCTTTACTGTGGGCCGGGTTTAATTAAAGGCAACCGGAAGGCTCCCGGTCACTACCGAGAAATTGGAGACGCGCGATGATCACCGAGCCGGCCCGTAAAAACAGTTCTTTCTGGCCCCGTTCATCCGCTGACGAACGTGATCACCCTCGAATCGCGATCACCCACCGTCGAAGTGTCGACTATAAAATCCCTGGATGATAATGTCATCACGGATCCCCCGAATTTTCAAGTTTCCGCACAACCAAGTTCCGCGTAGCTGTTAATCGATTGTTCGGTACGGTACCTCGGGAGAAGGTACGAATAGAGGGAATAATAAAAAGTTCTCCTTTTCACAGAAAATAATGCAAAGATCGAGTTTAATGTCCGGAAAGATAAAGATTCACTGTTCACCCAGCTAACGATAGACGATTAACAGAGACGCGATCGATCCTCACGGATTCTATTGAGCTGCGACGGAAGATCGAAGCTCCTTGAGCTTGCGCGACACCGAGGGAAATGAAGGATCGGCGGAGATGCGTGATCGCGGTTTTGAGAACAGCGCGATGCCCGTTTACAACGAGTGCCGGTGGGCACAATATAAGCCTGGCAAACCGGCTAACATAATAAACGGACAACACGGAGCTGCCGACACACCCACGTCCACGGATGGACGCGGCACGGCGCCTCTCAAACATGGCCGCTCCGCGGAACCGAACGAGGATCGACTGTTGCTATCGGCTTTGCCAAAATTAGACGATCCTTTCCTTTCGCGTTTCGCGGAATCCGAGCGTGATTGGACCCAGTAAGATTCCCCAGCGATTACAGAGGCCGACGAGTTTTTCCGAAACTTGTTACGACTGGACACCCCGCACCAAATTTAAGCCAGTTTGAGGCTTGTAATCATTTGAAAAGGGAATCGCTGATGAGCATTTTGAAACTAGGATGATTCATGTTTAGTAGTTTTTCTTCTTAGATAGTGTTACGTTTTAACAACATATTTGAAAATGTTATATTCGGTTCCCGACGAAATTCAAACTATATTCAGAAACATCATTGTTCGAGGAGGCCGTTAAATACAAATTATATTTTCTGAAGTGAAGGCATTTACCACCTTGTCAAGTTCGGAGTTTTCCATTTTTTTGTGCCTTCGACCTGGCCTTGCTTAACTAAAAACTTCAGGTAGATCGCGAGATTACAGGCCATCCCTTATTACTGTTTACTTTTAGTCGATACCTGAGATAGAAGACCACTGAAGTCCCGCTAGGAATAGTTTTTCGACACTCACTAGATCTTGTGAATTCATAAAACAGTAACTATCAGACAAAAGCTCGTGCAACAACACTATGTATATTAAATATTAAGTTTAATATTAAATTTAATTTTTAAAATTAAGTGCGGACTGATTTGCACCAACCCTAAATATTCGAGTGCCATTAATTTGCCGCTCGAAGCGTACATATGACTAACTTTGAAATTTAAAGTTAAAATTCATTGTGCGCGCTGAACAGATAGTTTAGTCAGTATTATTTCGATATAAATCAGGGTAATCTAATTTCTGAGTATGAAAGAGTTTGAAAGAGTTTGAATATTAAATTAAGAACGTTGTTATTCAGTTTGTTCCAAAATAGTAAGTGATGAATTGAATACCTAGGAAAATAGTTACTATAATGACTTCGAGTAATGAAACTTTATTAAAAGTTGTCTTAGAGAACATTTTCTTAGGTTCGTCTTCTACGAAATGCAAAAGCCGGAAGTAGTTAATTTCACTAGCATAAAGTAGCTTTTCTTCAAATCCCTTCGAACTCCCGAAGAAAATCACAGTAACTGAATTATTCTAGCTACCATGACTATCGCTAAGGAACGCGAAGTCCGTAGCATCCAATCGATCACACCAAGAAAATAGAGTTTTATCAGCGATTCTCTTCCAAGATTTCCCCAGCAAACTGCTCGAACCCTTCAGCGCAAGGTCTCGCGCAGTCTCGAAATCCAAAAATGGCTGAACAAAATTGAACGAAAACTTTCCATTCTCCATTCTCCAACTTCCAGTGCAACGTCGAATCAGCAATTCGGTCAGCTACTTTCAAGAAAGAGAATCGTACAAATTGTACGTCCCCGTGGAACGAGCGTATCGCATAACAGCAGCCGCCTCGAATATCCAGCGTTACGACTGCGGTCGTTGTAACAACGCCGTCGAAACGTCCTAATGAAGAGATAAAAGCCACCCATATGGGCTACCCGTGGAATCTTTCACGATCGAATAAAAGAACGTCTCTCGAGCCTCGGATATTCCACTCGGAGATATTCGGCCAGTTTCCTGCGTCTTCTACAAGGGCTTACGACACTCTCACGACGTTCTCAGTCCCGGCCGACGATTACGCGATTATGTTTCCATGTATCCCCGCGGCCTTTTTCCCTGAAGCAAGGAAAGACGCGTTTACGAGCGAGGACCGACACTTACAGCGCCGATTCTCCTAGTCGCCGGGCATACAGATCGATCCTAATGACGAGGGGTCTCAGCGAGGATTCGGTCCACGTACCATCCGTTTTTCAATCGTGTATAAGCAAGCAAAGCTCTTCCGCGGCGAAATCAGCGACGAAACCCTTCTTTCTGTTTATGCACGATCGAGCTTGATTCGGAAGGAATTTTCGAGGAAAGAAACGTCCTATGAGGGAGATAGAGAGGAAACGATCTCGCTGCGACCTTAATAGAAAGCACAGTTGACCGGCAAGACGGCAACCAGCGCACTGATCCTGTAAACTTCTCGCTATTTGCTCCTTTTTCCGACGACTTTCTTTCGCTGCGGGATTCACCGGCGACCCAGTTGCGCTTCGGAAGATCCGGCCACGGGCGCATTGTCGAAATTCTCTGTTTTCTGTATACGCGTCGCCGACGCGGAAGACCGCGCGCAAGAAGCTACACGACGAAATAATAAACCAGACGTGTTTGTTAACTCAACGAGAATTTCTTAGCCGCGCTTAGAAGATTCGAGAATATCGTTCGAGAAGATATTTCGAGCAAAACCGGTATTTTCAATGTTCGAGCATCGAATACATAGCTTTTTTCAAATAAGAAAGTACTGGCATGCCAAAAACAGTTGCAGAAATCCGTGTACCAATTAGGTATTAGAATAAATGAATTTAAATATAAGTAATTTCGATAATAGATTAACATTCAAAACGATAACTGAAGTGCATTTAACTACAATGTTGCAATGGAACAATCTCCGTTGCAATTAAATAAAATTAAGTGTTTGCTTATTTGTGGTACTTTAAAAAATACCACACCCTAAAAAATTATGAAAATTAAATATTATTATAATAAAATAGACGTAATAAATATAAAACGTTTAATTCTACCGCTGTAAATGACTTTAATTTATTTCCCTAAAAATAAATGCAAGTTTACACCCATCAACATTGAAAATAAATCGAGTGCACAAGGTTAATTTCTCACTGATGGAGATGCTTATAATCATTGATCATAACTATTCCAAACATTCCTGAAGCATTTACTTTTGTCAAGCCATAAATTCATGGTAGAACAAGCAACAAATGTGGTACCAAATATCAAGACTATTTGTTCACATTAAAAAATCAATTTCCTTTTATTCGTCGGGTCGTCGGAAGCGGTGAGTGAATCAGTGTTCAGCCATTGAGTCACCGATACGCTGAGATGGCAGACGCGTCTATAATAAGACTCCAAAGGAGCGCACGGTGCTACGGATTCATTCAGAGTTCTCGAAGCATGCCCACTTGCCGGTTGCATTCCGGCTCGATCGGGAAACGCGGAAAGCTCTGACCTTTCCGCGGGTCGCGTCCCGCCGGCTACGCTTCTGGTATTCCAGTAATTGGTCTCTCGACACCGGCCAAGGAAACAACGCCCGGGAGCCGTGGACAGCGGACACTGGCTGGAAAAACTTTTAATTGCAAGCCCCTCTCGCGAGCATTCGCGTGACGCCGTCCATCGCGCGGTGAATTGGCGTCCGCGAATTAAAAGGTGCTATATCCTACCAGGATGCAGTTAAACTCTCGCAAATTGGATCAATTTAAACGCCTGGCCCCTCGACGGTGTATCATCGAAATTGTCCGTCGAGTGGACTCTATCGTACTCATTGACTTTCTCCGTTTCGCACATTTAGTTTAGAAACGGTGAATTGAATATTCACTTTCTGGTGAGAGAAAGTTGTACGATTTTGTTATTGGAGATCGAGTTATCGAAGATCGTGAGGTTCGCCTGCGCGGATGAATGTTTATTAATGGTGAGGGACTTTTAAATGAATACGATTTGAATTGTCGCAATATTGGTATAATAATATGGGAAATGTTTTAAGTTTTAATATCATTGTTTTTCTTTTTTTAGGGATGTAGAGGAAGTTTTCGGAGTTATCTAAAATGAATAGGTAAGTATAGGGTTATGTAGGCTATTTAATTTCATCCATTGTGCTAAATATTTGTTTTACTTTCATTTACTTATTATTTAAACTGTTAAAGCTCTGTCTTGAATATTGTTTTCCTTGATACGGGGTAAAGATTTTATTATTAATTTTGCGCAATTACGTGAACAAATGGCTATGTAATGTAAATATCTTATGACAGCAAACATACCGAAGATCTAAAAATGGAAGACCCGTCCCCATGTCTCAGTTTATTAAATCAAAACAGCTCTACCATTTTTCTCTCTTCGGTGAATTAAAACCGTAAATGTGCCGATTCGATTCGTTTTCATTTGCATTTTCTTGAACGACGGTAGGAATGCATGAATATTAAGCAGTTTCTTTAAACAGACGATAATTGATTCTCAATGAGCGTTCCCCCGCATCGTAAGAATTGACTGAGAAAATCATCGTTTTCCCAGTCCAATTACAACCAGGAAAGCGTGGGCAAATATCCCTCATGCTGTGTCCTGCTGTGAAAACCCACATGCAACGATCAATTTTTGTACAATGGCCAAAGTAAATTTAAGCTCCCGACTTGAAGAAAAATCATTTTTCTATTGTGGCTGGTTCCTTTGTCCCCCGGCTCTTCTCAGATGCCACGAGCATGTCCAAGAATCACGATTCTCTAGCCTTGTTTATCTCACCGCGCCGTTCCACGGCAGTTGTGGTTGGCACACGTGCTTCTTGTCAGTCCTCACCTCGTAAAACTGACGGAGAATCACGGCATAAACCGGATGTTCTGCAAAATGAAAACCCCTGTCAGGTTTGAAAGCATCAGGAAATTTTATTACTATTGGCAGCTGATTTTATTGCTATTAATTCGTTAATTCAGGCCTTAGGTACTACTGAACTTCAAATGCGATTTTAAGTGTGTCAATGTGATTATTTTTTATCTTGATCGCTAAAGTGCAAATATCAAGCTTCAATTTCATGTATCAGAATTTGGGAAAGCTTTCAGTTGGTCAATTCGAAAATTGTCCTCTACCCGAGGAGTTTAATTTTTACCCCCAATACCCCTGACGTACAGACTTTTTACCTTCAAAGACTAATTCAGTAAATAGTTCTACTTGATTATAATTCTTAAGAAGAGGACGCTATGATCAGTTCTGCAGTTCTAGGTAGGTAAAGTGGTTGTCTCGGACCACCGACGAGAGATAGGATAGACTGGACATCTTATGGGACTTCGTGTCCGACAATCTGAAATACCGATTGTATAAAAAGAGCAGACGTTTTGTTATGCACTTTACAATTTAAACGCACTGCACTGCGTCTCAAAATAAATTGTATTTAATATGAAAGTTCCTCGGTATATCCATTTCTATTAGTTATATTTCGTAAAAATTGTCATGAAAAACTAGTCTAGAAAGTATGTAACCATATCCCACAAGAAACTTACGACAACTATTCAACAGCTCGAAACAACAAATTAATAGATAAATATATTGAATAAAATAGATCTATTAACCCTTTGCACACGAGAGACAACTGGTCAGTCGCCATTTGATTATAAACACAGTAAAATTATTAAATTTAAAATTCAATAATAAATTACGTATAGTAATTTACATGAAATATTGAAATAAAAGAAAATTCAAATAATCAATGAATAAATATATAGTGAAATAAAATAATCCTGTCCCTTAATTTCTGCAAGATTATTCTTTGTATTAATTGCAAAAACTATCATCGATATTTCATAAAAAGTAATGAATATTTATAATGAAAAGTATTATGGGATCAAATAATTTGAATCACGCCGCAGAATTAAAAAAATAATTATAACATATATTTAAATATATTAATACTAATCGAATAAGACAGTTTCTGTTTCAAAGAGAACTGAGAGGATCAGAATATGGCATTTTGTGAAGGTTGAAAATAGAAATAACCATTTAACATACAATCCCACTGTTCGAAGTATACGGTCGTTGAAAAATCACTTTTTTATTTTCGTTGTAATTTAATTGTACTTCTAAGTTAAATAACTTTAGCTTATCCTACTATAGCATCTCTTCGTTATTTTATCTTACTACAGCTCATTTACAATTACCATATAACTATTTTATAAATATGTTAGTATTGTATTTCAGTATACTCTCACAAAAGAAGACATCCGCCGAGGGATTAATATTCATCGCGATAGTTCTAAGTGCGCTAATGATAAAATTTAGAATTAGAAAAGGAGATCAATGGAATTTGGTTTTCATCCACCTCCTTCAGTCTCGTTCGCAGTAACCCCCACGTGGTGAGACCTGAAACTAGTATTATCCTCGATAGAGTAATTCCTATCGAGGATCGTGCTACGCTAATCAGCTGTGAAATTGTGTAAGTGTTACAGTAGGCCGAGTAGTTATTCTTTAGCTTCATTTATCTCTTTTTCAAGCAGAGACTTCTTCTCTAATTTCTCTTATTTTAGAATCAAGGACTTCTTTCTTGATTCGCTCCTTCTTTTGTCTTAGTCCGATAATTCTTCTGCATACGCGGCATCTCCATACATAGTTTAAGATAGGAATTAGCCTTTTTTAAATTAACCTTAAGCTCGAGAAAGAAAACATCCATCATCCGTCGTGAGAAATTTTCGTTTTCATTTTAGTATAGTATATAATCTTTCCAATACAATAAATGATTCTTGCTGTTCTGTGCATAACGTATAGCGGCAAATATCATCCGCATCCAAAAATTTGCACTTTTGACTAATAGCGCTATCCATGACAAAACACTCAAACCGGTAGACAAACGTTACCAATGTGGAAATTCACACGGTGTAGCCAAAGTGTCGATAATGTCGATTTCTATTTGTTGATAAAGTCAATTTCTATTTGTTATTAATTATTGTTGTAACTTCACATTTTAAAATCCTTTTGTTAATATTTGTGATATTCTTTTTGTAAATATGTAGTTAGTTAGAAACAAGCCGTTATAGAAGCTGGTCAATAAAAATGTTTCAACATAATAATTCAGTTAATATTGTAAATAAATATATTAAATGAAGATACACGGCACAACGGAGTGACTATGGCGTCATCCGTAGCAAGACGCTCAAACTGGTAGGCAAGTGTTACCGATGCAGTAAGTCACACGGAATGACTGAGGCGCCATCCTATCTGTACATACCTTAAGTATGACATTTGTATGCTGATTTAATATATTTATTACAGGGCCAACTTCGATCAGTTTACTTGATATAATTTTCCTATTCATCGTTCTCTAGGCGTAGAGGTCAGAGCAAAAACTGTAATTTTTTACTCAATTGGTAATTCAAAACATGACACGAAGCTCTGTAAACTTGTAATGTCTATCATTACACCTCGTCTGTGATAAGATATAAAAAAGGAGTCTTATTGGCAGGGAAAAACTAGAATAGAAAAATAGAAGTTCTGGCGAATATCATTTATTAAACCCATAATTTTTAATATTCTGGTCATAAATAAGAATTTTACGGATTAAATAAAAACGCTACCGAAGATATTTTCTAAAGCATTAAACTAAAGCTCGTTCGCTGAGCTAATACTTCAGAAAACGTTACAAATTACAGTTTAATTTAAATGAGCATGGATTTGATGAACATGTTCTCACATACGAAACATTATACCATCAAAGAATACAAACACGTTCGAAAATGAATATCGTGAATGAATATACAATGCCTTACGAAACTTGGTACTAACATTTTATAATTATTGTTTAAAAAAAATGAGTTATAGTACAAATTCGAAAAATCATTGGCACCAACATAAATGCTGCTTTTTGTTACAAATTATGTCTCTTGCATGAACTACAACATACGCGTTTATGAACAGAACTCAATAAACCTTACTAATTGAAACTGGCGACTTTCACGTTCTAACTATTTTCTAACAATTCAATTTAAAATGGCATTTACATTTAGTAAAATTACTGCCGGCACACGATCATTAATCATCATCGTTTTTATCGCAGTTACAATGTATTTAACTCGTAAAAAGAAGATTATTACATTTACTAGCTTCTACTTCAACTGATATTTCTTCCTTCAGTTCAGCTTCTTAGGCTAATTTCGTGTCTCTTGGCACTTAGCACCAACTTTTCGAAATGCAATCGTAGACGAAGACGTATCACTTATTCAATGGTCTCAAATTTTTCTCATGCATATTTTCTGATCGTATACATTCAGAAAGCTCATCATTACTTTTGTACTCAATTTAGTTTACATTCTTCGGCATACGAATATTTCTTCTTGAATTCGATACGTCTTTCTTAACTACGAAAAACATTTGGTTGCGAATTTTACCTAATTATCAGTCTAATACTCGAATGTAATGGATATTTTTTCGGAAGGTATAATTCTATCTAATTTCAGAATAAAAATTTAGTTCCTAATTTTGATTTAGTACATGTACTCATTGTAACAATGATCACATATGCTATATTCTTTGAAATGTGTTACTGTTCTTTTTTAGCGTATCATTTTCGAAAGTTAAACAAATTCATACAAGCAGTAATATATTTTGATCCAAATATCCATTTCAAAATAAATTGATCCTAATAGAAATTTGTATCCTCACTTTAAAGAATGTTCCACCGTTTTAATTGCGCAGAACATTACTTAAAACTTGAACAATTATTGTGCATTTCTTCGAGACCAAAATTACATTGCTAAAAAAAGTCTATGACCTTGTATTATAAGCTAAACACGAAAATGATCCCTTATGGGTCCGCAGAACGCTGTGACGTACATTTCTGAAGCTATTTCTCACACTCAACAACAGTCAATCATTTTGCGCAAGTATTTCTTTATTACTTTTGTCAAAATATTGCAACGATTCGTAATCATAAAAGCGTGTACACTACAATCTTGGATAAATTTCTCAGTTTTCTTGAATTGGAGTTCACAGGTGTTTAACAATGCCGGGTGTCAACGAAACGTGAGTACAAACTGAATGTTCCGAAAAAACGTGCAGAGAACATACTATTTGAAATACAAAATTGTTCTTTTACGAATCGAATTAATACCTTTCGCAGAATCGCTTTAGAAATCATAGATCGCGTGCATAAGTGTGCTACAGAAGATTTGTACGATTCGAATGAAATATAGGTCGAGCTTTAAAATACACAAGGACATCCAACGCATTGCACCAATGTTCCTCGAATGTAATCTAGTGAGAAGTTATTGCCAGCAGCCATGAATTCGCGCAGTAGCTGTTCGTTCTATTCGGGGCAGCGGCAATGATGATGAAAAAACGGATCGGTTTCAGCTCTTGAAAAAGAATCTGCCAATCGCCCGTTTGTGGTGATGCATCGTTGACAGAGGAAGCCACAGGAGAAGAACGGCTTTTCACTGTTGGACTGTCGGCCATTCCGATCTTCTCCTCCCTCAGGAACATAATGTATCATTTATGCAACCAGAGTCCACATTCACACGTTTCCGACTCGCACGATGGTGGTGGGTGACACTATATGGATGGTGATGGATTAAGTCTTGTGCTGGGTGACGGTACACGACGTCTTTCTATGCATTCGTCGCCGAGCACCGTTCACGAGGTGGCTCGTAGTTTTTCCAACGCTGGTACCAGCGACTCTTCGTGGGCGGGGCCACAACTCAGTCCACATTCGCCGATCCATCTTGCTTTTCCACTAGCGTGGGACTGGAAAAATAAAGGAAAAAACGGTTCAAGCCCTGTCCACAGAATTCATTTGTTTCGTGGAATTATAGTGAATAAATACAATCAGAAACGACGCGATTCGCCAATGTTCAAAATAGAAGTAAATAATGTTAATTACTACGGAGAACATCAATGACCAGCACTTGATCTGCCAAAGGTTAAGTTGAATACTATCTTAAAGTCACCGTTATTTATCTGCCAGATGGCGTTATAAAGTCGTTGACTTATTGAGTATTCTACAATATGACAATATTTAACTAAACATAATATGTAAAAATATTTCTAATACAAAATGAGAACTGATCATAGATTTCAGGCCGAAATATAATAGGACATTCTTGTCATAAGAATATTTTATTAATTGCTATTTCTGAAATCGTATCAGTCTTTGGTTACATGTATTCTATATATTATTCATACCGTCAAATATTCACATTCAAAATTATTCTACGTCCAGCACAGTGTAATTTGTCGATAACGATCTGGTACTTTATCGACAAAATTACGCCGTATATGAGACTCTATTCGCTGCGTATTATATTTTATATATCCGTTTGAGTACTATAATAGTTCCCAATATTGATTAAATGGAAGATCATAAAAACTCTATTATAAAAAGCTGACATTAAGCTCACTTTTATCGACTATTTTTCACGGCCGACTTTGTTCAGCCTTATTATGAACGGAGCAGCTGTTAATAGTAGCCTTCGTAATAATATGGATACTGTAAATGTCATTTGTGAAATCGATAAAGCCAACTGTTCATCTCACAACTAATGTTGGACTACGTATTAAAACCTTCCACCTTTAGAACGCAGACTAAATGCTAAATATACCAAAATTTTCATCGTTTCTTTAACTTTATTTCTTACGTTAGTATTAGAAAAATACTTAAAAAATTCGTTTATAAAGAACAGGTTCTCCACATATAGAACGAAGTTTCCGAGTACTTCAGTATTGACGTCCGCAAAGACTTGAAATTCAAGTTGAATGAAACTTGTTTTATCATGACGGGTCGTGCGTGTTAATAAGTTCGATTACTTGAATAGCTCTGTCCCGGAGACGTTAGGTCGATCGAAGTGTTCTTGGTGATGTTTACAAGGGAGCATGGTGATCCAAGGCAAAAAATAGATGTTTACCATGGTAAGGTCGCGTTTCCACGCGGTGTGGCAACGTCCGTCGCAAAGTGGGCACGGCCGTTGAAGGGAATAACCACCGCATTCACTGCAGTCGAGGGATACATGATCTTCACTCCACGAAACCCCACATCTGTAAATAAAAATAACTTTTGGTTACTCAATCTGTTTAACCAAATTCTCTTTAACGACAATTAAGAGGGATTTGGAATTTTGTGTCTCAAACGTCATAATTAATATTGCATTCCGAATTTTTTAACCTTTAAGAAAGATACACGGTATAACCCAATAATTATAAAGTCTTACTTTATTTAAGTAATTAAGAAATTTATGAGGTTCAACAAAATTTTATTGTATTAAAATTACTGTAGTAATTTTTAAGAGGAAAACATATTTATATTTAAATCCTACTTTTACAATATAACTATTAAAACAACCACAGAGAGCAGGTTATGTTAGAAGTCAGCTAATAGCCTTCATATAACGTTTTAAATATTTTACTTTGTCAAATATTTTATAAATATTAGTATGTTTTATTCTATACGTATCAAATGATTATTTTTAACGATAGAATAAAAACAAATCAATGATATCAGTCTGCAAGGATTTAAGAACATGATTGATTAGTTAATGTAAGATAAATTATAAAGGATCTGACTCATGATGATGTCCTCATAAATTCAACATTATTTGCAACATAATCTAATTGCATTCGCTAGTGCGCAGTTTTCAAAATTAACGTTCGCGATATGTCTTGCAGTCATACTTTAATAGTGAACGCATGAAAATTAAATATTATCTCGGTTTAAAAATTATCTAAACGATAAGATAGGAGCGTAAAGCGTACTGCCATTGAGTTCCTCGATTCTATAATTATAAAATCAGAATGTGGAAGTAATTATAAAACCAATAGGTTACGAAAATGTCTTGAGTTCATCCGCAACGTTGCTTCGGGTAACTCTAAAAAACTTTGCTCCCGTTTGCACACCGCATTCCCCTAGCAATTACGAAACGTATTATGTATACGTATGTAATGTATCTCATTTGTATTGACTTTTTATGAAATTGTCACTGTTTGTATTCCTCTTGAATGAATCCGCGATACATGGCACTTGCGATCAAAGAAAACGTAAAGAATGCCGTAACGATTGTGTAACGCCGACGTCAATTTAGATTTGCTGATCTAGATCCTTCCATTTGTATCGTCAATCGGTAAAGGTTAATTCCAGTTTGTTTATTAATGTTTATAATTACAAACATAGTCTATTCTTGCACTAAAAACATAGAACATTAACTTTTGTACTCCTTTCCGTATTATTTAAGATTATTAACTCGAGAATTATTAAACATCTAACAGTACTAACTTGGGATTTCATAGGTAATTTTCGACGTTTCATTTTTGGAGATTTCGCATTGCATTCAATGTCGCGCATACAATAAATAAGTTGATTTAATTGTAACTTGTATAAAAGCCCATTCAAGATTTCAATAATTCCAAGAGACCGAAGATAAACCATTTCATGCATCTAATAATTTCAACAAGTAATTAACCAGTTAACCGCGTTTCACGTGTATACGCGTCATCTTAAAGCTTGAAATGATGCTAATTCTTTCAACGATGAATTCTTTATTTTGTCAGATAAGCATCTTCTTCGTTTTGCTTTGATTTTTCATTCAAATATACCCTAGGGGCATTCATCCTGCATTTGACAAGTACACGCTTCATTCTTCGATTTCATTGCGCGCAAAACGAGAGAAGTTTTTCAAACTAAACTCCACAGTTAACAGGTTAACACAGAATTACCGATTCACCAATCAGAATCTCCAATATACGAACGTCGAGTTTCAATACTTCCCAACAAAGCCAGCTCTAAAAAGTTTCGTTGAATTCGAATCCGAAGATTTTCTCGACAATTCCTGTTCTATACCGGATGACGCAGAAACGAGTATTCCATTGAAACAATGAACTCTAGGAATAATGGAGTTCAAACCGGATTTCTCCGCTTAATATATGAGCAACGTCTAAAACGAATTTAATCATCGCGGTGGGTTCTGGATCGCATCGGATTCTATTATTGTCGGGTTGAGTTCAAGTCTGCGCAATAACGGCCGCGAGTTCTTAGGGATCCTCGACGATACGTGCGGGAAGGAGATCGGGATACCAAGACCGCGAAATTCAAAATCAATGGCCCGAGATACCGGTTATCTGGCCGTTGAAAAATTATGTAAGGAAGGGCCGCCGACGTTTACCGTTTGCGATAACGGCTGTTGAACCGGCTGTAACTTTTATCGAGGCTTTTTATAAAGCACGCAATTCCTTGACGTAACAGATAAGGAACGTGTCGAACTCTTTATTATCGTGTTCCATAACTTTGATAGCAGTTGTAACCCTATAATTTCACGGTGTTAAATTTTTCATATTCAATGTTACTTGGAAATTGATGCAACTGAATGTTCATTTTATTTTTATTAATTAAACTTCTTGTCTGCATACTGCCCCTGCAGCTCAATTAAAATTCTTTAAGGTCGTACGTGGTTAAGATTTTAATGTGTATAAAATGATTTCAGATTAAGTTCCTATTTTTCAATATTATACAATTCTTTTGAATATTCTTTCGGTATATTGTTTTTCTTTATCGGTTTTATATTATTGTTCCGAGTTATGATATTCGTGGATATGATCGATTAAACGTGTTTTCACAGGCTGCTTACAGTATGTTAAAGATTAACAAATATGCCATCGAATAAATTCTTCGAACCTTTTGGGACACGAGGGGAAAAGGGATCGTGCTGCGACACTCACGTGAAGCAAGAGTTCAATTGAGCACGAAGTTCCTCAATGGTAAGGATCGTGTCCTGGTACTGTGGATGCGATCCTTGAAGACCATCGTCAACACTTCCGCACAAACTGTGGCAGGACAACGAGATGTTGCTTCTGTAACAAAAGAAAAAAAGGAAACGTTAATGCTATCGTTGATTTTAAACAAAAAACGAAAATAAAAAGACAAAAACAAAAGAAATCAGAATCTTTTCAAACGAAGTCGTAATTAACACTACAACCACCGAGCAGTCAACAAGTTGAACTTTTCAAATTTGCCTACAGAAATTCTGAGAATACATTTATTGTAATTTCGATTAACTTATAATTCACTTTGCATGTTACCAAATCAATTTCTTCAATACTTTCTCGGAGAAGCATTTATCATGTTTTCAATAATTGTAAAAAAAAGAATTCACGAATGGGTCATTTTGACCTATTCAATGCTGAATTAAATTCAAATTTTTTGGAAATAATCCTTTTAACAAAATTGATACTGCGCGTTGAAGGATGTAATGCTTGTTAAAGCAGAGTGAATCTTCATTTCCACAGAAACACAGGAAATGAAGAAAATATCTGCTGATACATATAACATTCTGCGCGTTGATTTTTACATGAACATACTAGTTGGAGAACCTTGGAAAACGTTCATCAGTGACAGAATATCTGCAACGAATAATTATGTAAATTCTTAATACAACAAACGAGAGCTTGTAACGTTCCTGTTTGCTTTTTTTATGTAACCATTTGAAATTGTAATATAAGTTATGCAAAGTGGCTTCCGGATAAGCACACGAAAACTAAAACATATGTCACTGAATTTTTATCGTCGAGTTTAACATGTATTAGTCACCTAAGATTTTTCATTAAACCGATAACACCAGGAACAAATGTGCCACATGTTTGGTGAAGAATTACACGAAAATCTTTTGTTCAACGCGAATAACAAAATAATAACAATATCAGAATTTACTTTAAAACTTAACCTGCATTAAGACTGGACGTTACTCTGTATTCAAAATCTTTTATTTTTGTACTTTTTTTATTGTTCCTATTTCAATTTATCTTTCATTTAAGCATGTAATTTCTAATGTTTATAATTTAGTAAATGAATATCCATAAAAAGTGACATTAACTTTTATATCTATACCAATTACGACTTCAATTGTATTATTATTTTCAATGATCGAAAAGTGTAATCAAAAACCGATGTGACTTGGTAATATTTTACTACGTTTAGGAGAGAAGAGAATTTTTTACGGTCAATGTATTTATAAATCTATTTATATACCGATAAAAAGCATGCAGACGGTAAAAATCTTGAATAAGGTTAAGCTCCATGTTTTTTCTCGAAGAATAGGTCGAATATTGAATAACAATACACTGGCTTATGAGGCGCGCGAATTTAAAATATTTTTTTCACAATGAGGAAGAAAAAGAGGAAATGATCGTAAAAACGGCACACAACAATAATAAAATCCATTCTGAAATTCGTTGCACCGAGACAGAGGTATTATTATCACACAAAAGAAAAGGTACAATTTCAATACCGTTTTTTACAGTGTTTACCAAACATTCGTTATTACTCTTTCATTCATTCACTTAAAACATTTATTTTAATAATTCCGTTACAACAGAATTAATTACACAATTACTATTCTCTACATATTCACATTATTTTGCAAATACCGTACTTTAAATTTAATACTTTATATATTTCTATATAAAATAATTTTATACATTTTGTTTCTTACTTACATAAAAATGATATAAGTTACATAAGTTATTTAATTTATATAGAAATTATTAATATATTTATATAACAAATTTTATATACTTTAAATTATCAAATTTGAATCTCGACTTTGCGTTACCTCGCGCAGAAATGAACACCAGGAAATACCAACCTATTAGTCTCGGTAAAATTCCAAGAAGGAAGATTCAAGATACATAATGATTGATAGTAAAAGGGATCTTATCGGCAACAGACATCAGTTAATAATTCGGCAACCGATCGTAGATAAATCGCGAAAGAGCTCTTTGAATCGGAATACTATCGACGATATGATCGTGACCGTAGAAGAAGTCTGCTGACCTTGGACACTTTCGACCGTTAAACCCGGAAGAATCCGGAACGAGGCGCTTCTTTTTCTACGTTTCTTTCAACTACCGTTACCATTTTGGCAGCCGACTACTTTCCAAACACCGATGGCCGCAATCTTAATCGAATTTCACGCGGAGAAGCAACTTCAAATTGCTTCACAAATAAAAAGTATGAGCGACCTTTGGATCTCCATTCTCCGATGTCTGTCAATAAGCCTCTAACTATATACTACTTACAACGTCGTTTATGTTTCTTTCAACTACCGTTACACCACTTCGAGTAACTACTTTCCGAAAAGTTATTAAATAATCACACGTGCCGACACGTGCTCTATAATAAAAGTAAATCGAGACCTTAAAAAATACCTACTTAAAATTGATATACCAAAAGAACAGATCTTTCCGTTCTCTGCAGTTTAGCATGTTAAGCGCCACGAAAATCTTGACCGTTTTCCTGTAGAGTTATCCTTTTCCAGCGAGGAATAACAGGAACAATTATTAATTATTTATCGTTGTTATCCTTGCATTACACTATTATCAGCTTAGTTACATTATTAAACGTTTTCGTTTGATGTCGGTTATCTTACATATTATGATTGTTTTCAAGTCATTCAGAATAATCGGTAATCATCAGTGACTAACACGGCGCTGAACCTGTTAACAATGAATGTTAAATTGAAATATCGTGCTCTCCTTGTTCCTACCATATTAACCTGTTAACCGTGGAATTTAGTTTGAAAAATTTCTCGTTTTGCGCGCAATAAAATCAAACAATAAAGCGGGTACTTGTCAAATGCAGGACAAATGCATCTAGTATATATTTTAATGGAAAACTAAAGCAAAAGAAGGAAGAATTACATGTTTATCTGACAAAATATAGAATCCATCGTTGAAGGAATTAGTATCATTTCATGCTTTGAGATGACATGTATACTCGTCCAACGCAGGTAACTAGTTAAGCAACCATAAAATAACACTTAAGATGTCACTAATCAAATGCTAAATGCTTAGAAGCGTCACGGATGAAACCTAAATCGCTTTTCCAGAGGATTAACTATCTTGAATATTTTATCGGACGACAAAAAGAAAAATCGAATGCTCGAGATAGAACATTGTCGTAGCTTATGAAACCGATTAACAGCAACGGAATGGTGGGATAAGAGCTAGAGGATAAGGGAAAGAAATAGTAAAACATCACCAGATAAATCGAGGTTATTAATTCCAATATGTCAGACGATGGTAATCGGGGCGAAGGATATCTCGACCGGACCGAACTCTTCCATTGGCTCTCTTATCGCGTTTTGATTAATCAGCCCGTTCGTGATCGGAAATTAATTTTCACGTGATTGTCTCCTGTATAACGCGAATATGCAACTATCAAGGAGGAAGCAGGATGAGGCAAAGGGTGCAAGGTACGGAGCTGACCGACGTAGCGACGTGACGCGAGCCAATACGTTGAGAACGCGTTAAATATGCAGAGATATGGAAATCAGGAAGAAAAACGTTTCTTTCACGTGGCGAGAACGTGAACGGGTGCGTAATAACCGCGACTCGTACGAGCGTTACGCTAGTTGGCGAGCGCGCAGTATATACTGTATATGTAACACATATATGTATATGTTGTATGACGTGAATCTCGGAATCGATCAGCAAATCAGCGAAACCGTTTCTTCTTTGCGTCCCTACTGAATGACCATACTTGTGTGCTTACTCTTTTTTTTTAATTGCTTCAAGAAATTGATTTTATTTTTGGAATTTCTTTTTGGTTGATTGTTGAACGATAAAATGTATATTTCTGTTTTGAAGTTTCTGCTTTGCGTTTCAACTGATGATCGCGTTTCTACATTTGTTTATTTTTAATTCGAGACACTGATTTTAATTTTGAAATTTAGAATAGTACAATGGGAAAACGGTGAACTATGGCTAGGAAACGTGAGTGTTGTTGCTGACAGATTTTGTATAATAGAAGTAGAATCGGAAATGGTTTTAATCCAATGTTTGGAAATTGTTAAATACTCTAATGTTCATGCTGTTAGTATTGTTTTCTTCTTTGAGCAAAGGCTGCTTTCGAGGGTACGAGAATGCGTTAGTTTGGTGTGATCTAATTTTGTATTTTCGTCACTTGGAGTTTTCTAATAAATTTTTTATTAATATCGAGGCTATAAAAATGATTTGTTAACTTGTGAATTCGATTTACTCCGTACATGCTTCGAAAACGAAATATTGCTTGCAACAGAAAAATGATTAGATCATTATATTATACATTGCAATAACACCGATGGTTTTACGCGTTTGCAAGAAATTCAACTAGCAAATACGCAATAAAATATCTCCGCGTATTATCTATGTTTCATTCAGATATCATTCCTTTCTGGGTGAAGAACTTTTATTGTCCGGCCAACGAAGAATGCGAATTTCTATAAACATCCGAGGTTTAATTGCGACGTCTGCAATGCCAGTTTTTTATTTATCATATCAGAAACGTCTGTGTTATGTAAGAATGGTATCATGGCTAACCCTTCGCGCGCAATCCACGTGAAATGAACTCACATAGCACGCCGCTGAAACATGGACGCAAAACAACGTGACTACTATGCGCGCGAGTCGCTAAAAGGACTTGAAAACCCAGCTTCACCTCCCCGTGTCTCTCTTTTCTCTCCCTGTCGTCGTCCGACAGCAATTTCGAGAATTTCCGGCTTACGTTAACTACTAATTAACCGCGATCAAGTGAACGACGCGGCAGCGACCACGTGAAATTCCTGGCGGCTGCGTGTGAACAGCAACTTCTAGACAATGGGACGACGAAATCGATTCAGACGGGGAGAAACGAATTAGCAAACACGTCAGCTCGGAAAATTACGTGTATTGTTTCACGAAAAGGAAAGATTATCATCCGACGTTATAATCATAGGTAACTCCCGTATGACATGGTTGTTACGTTCCTTAAAAATGTTATGCGACTTCGTGTTGTACGAAACAAAGAACCAATGCAAAAGACGGAATTAGGTTTCAAATATTACAAAACCATAATTATCGTTTCTATAACAAGGTTTAATAATGCTCACCCGAAAAATGTTAATATAGTAAAAAGAAAAGACAAAATTTTAGAATGTACTTAATGCTCCACGATCAAAATAGGATTTCAAATTTTGATAAATTTCAAAACTCTGCAGGCAAATCTGATACAGCACACACACTCACATGAAAAATTTCCAATGAGGTATCTTGCGCACCGAGATTTCTTTAATTTCGAAGTTTGCTCTTAAACACATTAAACGTTGTAGAAACCGTGTTATAGAAGTGCCATGTTACGCGAAGGTTATCTGTATTACGATTATTACGGTGAGAATCGGATATTTTTTTGTCTAGAACTCAATTTCAAGTTGAATAAGGAAGCTCGAGAAGCTAATCAGAGAGATCGTAATCGTTTGCGTTTTGTGAATAGTCACGCGATGTATTATAATTTGAAAATATTTAATTTTTTTATCTAATAATCGTCTTGCGGTTGGATAAGAGAAGAACCGATTCAGTAAGGTTATGCGAGTTTTAAAAAATGTATCGATAATTTGATAAAAAGAAAAACCATTCGAGTCGACCACTGTAATTGCGTACAAGTGGCTTGTCATGTAATGGTGAGACAGTATGTTTGAAAAAATTAATGGTTCACGGTCTTAAGGCAATTATATATTGAGTAATGTATGCTCAACAGTTATTAGAGCAGGCTGGCTTGTTTATGCTTCCTTTTTATGCCGTCGAAAGGATTCCGCGAGTCTTTTAATTGTAGTCGATGTCGACGATAATTGTATGATATCCTAATATCCGCATTACAAAGTCGCTTCATTAATTTGCGTGAACGTGCACGAATATTGGTACACGAGAATGGTTATTAATTTCATAAAATTGGCTCAATTATTAGAAAGTACCAAAGTTTTGATTTAGGACGCTCAAAAAAAAGAAGGAAAGCGATCTCATCCTTTCGAATGAAGGGAAAGCTTTGACTAGAAATTTCAGATTCAATTAGGTTCGGGGAATTGGTACGTGGAGCTTAGATCATCATTGATTTGCCTAGAGTGAGTTCGTGATAATGAGTTAATCGACACTAGTGAGAAAGTTATGTGTGGCATACACACGAATGAAACTGGTCAACATAGATTTGATTTTATTTTCTAGACTTACTTTTTTCAGATACAATAATTTCTTTTTTAACTGTATTACCAGTTACAGAACACTCTGTGTATTATACGTAATTTATATAGTTTCTAAATTGAGAACATTTGTACTATCGTTATTGATATTAATTTTATTTCATAATGTCCCAGTTACCATTAATTTTACTTTTTACTGTCCTACTTAACATTAATTCTGTTTATAGTATCCCAATTAACGTTAATTCTGTTTTGTAGTGCCTTACTTATTACCAATTTTATTTAACACTATTCTACTTAGCATTAACTCTTTTAGTATCCCACTTAATATTAATTCTAGTTTGCATTGTCCTCATTGCCATTTTCAATTGTACACTGTTCAAGTTCACGTCAATTCTATATTACATTGTCCTAATTTTCATTAATCCTATTATAAATCACGTTTACCCAACAGTCGTTTCAAATTTGGGACCCTTCACCCTAACGTAGAGTATTAATATCACTTGAAAAGCTTTCGTGCCCGTACAATTCGTCCTGTTAATTCAAACAGTGAAGGTTCCATTGTCATTAGAGACAATTCTAGCCGCGAAACAATAATATCGGTTTAAATCTGGCGTCTGGTCGGCAGATATATGTATAAACGTCCGCCTTCAAAGTCGTCCTTCGTCGTTTCTCTGGCGCAGTGGCGTAACGAGCACAGAGAGGCGCCACGCGGCCACGTGCCTACATTATGCAAAACCGGCGCAACTTCTACGAGTAATACGGCACTAAGAATAATCCTGTAAAATGGACCTTCGCGCATCTCAGCTCAAACTCTTCCGAAATATATGAATACACATATACCGAGTGTCTTACAGATTTACACATACAAACGCGCGCGCACACACACGCATTGCCAATATGTCCACAGTTAAAAATAAGATTGAAATGTCATGGGACAAATAACCCGTAAATGTTTTATTACGAAGTTATACCAGAACTGTAAAATGCGAAGCAAGCGTAGTATTTACTTATCTTCGTACTTGGTTATGTAGTATCGTCTGCTATTATCGACACAAGGTTGATATTTATGCAACAGTGACTTTTTATTCAAATTTCGTCGTTTGCAATGCTATCTATGTCTCACATAATTTCGGATAGTATTTGTAAATTATGTATTAGGTAACACTTTTATATTATACTATTATAATATATAAATTTGTATAGAATTTTATGTAATACTTATTGTATAGTATATTATTAATTTCGTCTATTATTTATATAATTATTGTGTTCATATCTTTTATTTAAACATAAATAGACTGCTTGTTACACGACATTTCAGCCCTGTTTTCTACATAAACCGTACCGTACGGCATTTTGTATATACTTATTTCCACCACAATCAGTCAAAAAACAACTGGCAACAAAATGAAAGTAAGCAAAATCGATGACAAATGTTTTTTAGTGGAAATGAAAACAAAAGGAAAGACAAAATATCTGATATCTTCTTTTTGCAATTATGAAAAAGATAACAGAGGTTTCTCCGAAAAATCATTAAAGAAATTGATTTATCAATACGCAAACTGAATTGTAAACTGATTAAAGTCTCAATAGATGCACTCTTGGAGTTTCTATAGAAGAATTTCAAAAAATCAATTTAACTGCTCGGTAGCTTTAGTGTTAAATGAACGGGGAAAAAACGCAGAATCTCAAATCAAATTACAAAACCGGTCATTTGACCGGTTAGCGATACGGTTAGTGTTAAATTTGCAAGACACTGACAAAATTCATACGGTAACCTTCGGAACACCCGGTGTATAACAATGTTCGGACAAAGACGCAATCATCGTTGCGTTCTTTTATGGTTCTCGCGAGGAAATTGTACGCGACGATGGAAATAAATCTACACGACGGACGAGTGGATCATCATCGATTTCGATGAGACTGTATTTCCACGTAGAGAACTGAAGGCGGGATATTAAGGAAAAGTCGAGCGTAGGCTGTGAGTCACCCGACTGGCCGTCAGTTGCCAGTTCTAGAATGGCAACGTAACAGGATATCTACCTTCTTAATAAGTATTGTTTCGTTTAAGCGCACGGCTACATCTCTATTTTTAAACGGAATCTGTAGGCCGCTCTTAATGTTTATATTTCAACGGCCGTTGTCACGTATACGCGAACACGTTGACCCAACATTTACTGGCCGGTGTCACGAGAACGTGACTTTACTTATATTTGACCTTTGCACTATATATCTCTAAATACTTACACGTTTGTGCGCATTTAATGTACATTATTATTACGTAAACCTATAAATAATGCGCGCTTCTAATACTTATTTTATTTCCTAGGATTAAAAAAGGCAATGCTTCGTTTAGTTTAAAATATATTCTTTCGTATCGTCTATAGATTATGAACATACAAACATGAAAAGAACGAATATGCAAATGTATAACATGTGAATATATAAATACAAACAACTGCATTCTTTATGGTCTTTAACACTGTATATGATCACCTAATACAATACATTAGACATTTTAGTTTAAGGATATTTCTTAAAGACTTTTGCATGTATGTTACTTTATTTTTTATTTCTTGTCGTTAATGCACACTTTTAGAATGTTATGTTATATATAAAATTGTATCTATTTTCAGAAGAATTTCGTGTAACAGTTTATTAAAATACTATCCTCTTTAAAACTAAGTATTTGCTAGTATTTGAATTTGAACAATAAAACGACGATAGATTTTTAATGGATTAATTGTCAGTTGTCAATGGGTGTGCATATACTTTAAAGTGTAACATGCTAAATTAAAGTATCAATTTTTCATTTCTAATTTCCAATTTTCTTAATTTCGAATGCATTTTATTATTTTACTGAGTTTCAACATCCATGAAAAGAAGGAACATCTTTCCAACGCAAGAAAACGACTTGAAAGTTGAATTTCTCCTTTCATTTTCCTAGGAACATATCAATTCAATAGACCCTAAAAATCCACTCGCAGGAGATAATACGGTCGCGATTCCTCCGATCAAGCAGCCATTATACAACACTTCGATTAGTTTTCAAAAAACAACGCTACCACCGAGGATACAAGGAATTCCGAGCTACAGCGCGCGTGGCGCGAATGTTCCAGGCGTTAAATTACATTCATCGCCGTTTCACCGATTTCTCACGTAACGAAGAAAGTAGGGAACTTACCCATGGCGAGACAGACTCTCAGTGGCAGGTTGCACAGATGTGGTGACAGACATGTTGTTGTTTTGGTGGGTTACAACTGAAACAGAGAACGAGAAAAAAGATATTAACTCCTTGCCTTACGATTTATTTCGTTTCACATGCTTACGCTTACGTTATTTAATGTTGTCGCGACTTTATGGACAGAACTATTACAAAGAAAACTGAAGTGTTGCGTGTTCAATCAAATTTCTTGACGAAAACAAGATTTAGAAAATAAATTACACAATCACGTTTCACACGGAGAATAATCGCGAGTGAGACTATTTGATACGATTAATGTGTACTTCTTATACAAATTATACGAGTACATTTATTTGAATTTTTGGTATTTGTTAGATTATTTATAATATCTGTAATTGTAAAATTAGAGAATTAGAACCAGTCATCCTGACTGGTATGGTAGTTCTAAAATTAATTGGCACAAGGCGTAATTAAGTTGTAATTGTAATTCCTCAGATTTGCTAAATTGAATAACGGCAAGAAACGCATATATTCGTACTATATACTTATAATCGTCACCACAGCACATGTGAAATCGAAAACATCGAAAAACACATAGTGTGCGCCTCTCACGTCCTGAGTCAATCGAAAAAACAAAAAGTCACAGGAGCAAGGTGTATGTACTCGCCAAATGCGGAACGAATACACCTAGGGTATATTTCAATAAAAAACCAAAGCAAAACATGAAGAATTACATGTTTATCTGAAAAAATAAAAAATTCATCACTGAAAGAACGAGTATCATATCAAGCTTTAATAGTGCGAGAACTTTTTCAACGATGAATTATTTATTTTTTCATATAAACATGTAATCGTTCTTTGTTTGGCTTCAGCTTTTTGATTCACACTTCATTATTTGATCTTATCGCACGCACAGTAAGAGATGTTTAAAACTAAATTCCGCATTTAACCAGTTAATCGGCTCGATATGGAAAAATCGATGACGGTGGACAGGTGCGGCTAAGGAATCCCTGAATTCGCCGGGTAAACAAGAATCGTCGCACGGGGAATCCCCTGGCAAACGCGGTGCACTCGAAAACCGAGGACGAGGCGCGAGACACGACGAACCGCGAAGGACATCCGCGATAAGTTTCACCGTGGATCTCACCTTGGCACGAAACGAGCCACTTTTACTTTCCCCGCGAAAGAAAGCCCCGACACGACCGCGGGACACGCTCTGAATCTTTTATTTCGAATAATCCGCGTGACCGCTGTGTAACCGATTGCTCAACCCGCCGAGATTTCGTGTTGTAGAGGAAGATTCTTGATCGGCTGATATGCCAACAAATTCCCATTTTTTACTGATTCTGGTTAGGATTTGTTCTCTCTTTTCGATTGGTTTTGAATCGATAAGATAGGGAGGAAATGTAAGTCGATCGGTATAAACGTGTTATTTATGTGTAAATAATAGTAAATATATAATGGTAAATAATAGTGAATAATAATCAATAATGATAAATAAATACTAGTAAAAAATAATAGAATTTTCTTATTTCCGAAAAATTGAAGAAAACGTGTATTTGCTCCTTTATTTAAATACTTATTACATTAATACGATTGGAATAAATAACTAGATACATTGTTTTAGAAAGGTTAATAAAGAATTAATGAAAATGAATACAATTATGATTCCATGATTTTATTGGAAATTCGATGGATAGGCTACTCGAGATGTTATAACTTAATAAATCGATCGCACAGTAAAATTCTTATTAGAGAAACAATCAATACACTGATTATATTACATGGTTATTTGAGTTGTACGAGCTGAATGATTCCTACTAGTAGCGACTGGATGATTTACGAGATGAACGGAGAAGATTATTTGGATTATGGTATAGCTAACTGGCATAATTGATTCTTGCCGCGAGAACTGTAAACCGTTTAATTACGGACAGCAAAAATCATTGTAGCGCGACGTTCGTAGTGTTTGATTAAATCCTGTGCTCGAAATGACCGTAATAATAAATGATGAGTATACAAAATTGATATATTGTATTCATATAAACAACTTGAAAATTTGGAATTTAAAATAAATGTAACTATTATTTATCCAATATAAATCATCAAATCTTCGTTATGCATTTAATATGCGAAATTCAATTGATATATAGAATATATTGATTAAATGTCAAATAAACGGTGGTTTATTTTATAAACTAAGCTATTATTAATGATTTTAGTACACTATTTTAACGGCAGGTTAATTAAAAAAAATCATTTGTGTAATACATTTTTTCATCATCGATATCTTCATCATTACTATTGATAATTGTTCTATCTTTGAGGCAAAAGCGAAAATCTCTAAAATTTGCGACTAATTAAACGAAAAGTCATTAATCATTTTCAAACTGTTGATTTAAAAATCCATACCGAAATTATAGCAATGAAAGTAATACTTGGCACTGCAATCAGTTTAGTAAACTGTTAAGAACAATTACTGAACACATGCATTCAAACATGGTGTTTCAACATGAATATTCATATTTTACGCCACCTTACAACAAACGTTCACTCATTAAAAATTATCGGTCGTTATCAGGCACGTTAAGCATTAATTGATTCAAACATTTTCATTATTGACCTGCAATGCATTATTATTTCACAATTTCGTAAACTCTGTTTCCTAGCACAAGTTAACCTGTTCACTGTGGAATGTAATTTAAAAAATCTCTGATAATGTTCGCAAAGAAATCGTCTAATGCAGATCAGATGTACCTATAATATATTCTAACGCAAAGCTAAAGCAAAACGAAGAAGAATGACAAGTTTATCTGAGAAAATAAATAATTTATCGTTGAAAGACTTAGCATTATTTTCAGTTTAACGTGACGTGTATACTCGTTGAACGCAGTTCACTGGTTAATTTAAAAGAAAAACGTTATCGTATTATATATCGGCGTGTTCATCGGTTTCTTTCTGTTTAAGGTTTTTCGTCTCGGCGAGCACGAACAGACATCCTGCCTGCACAAGCAAGAAAGTAATGTAGATCGGAAAAATTGTTTAATCCCAAATGATTATTTTGCGGTAAAAGAGTATAAATGCAAACGAAGGTATTATAATAGCTGGCGATTATAAAACGAGATTCCTGTGTCGACAGAAGGTCGTGGGAGAATGTCAAGGATTTCATCATTGACACATTGGCAATGCGCAGTAGATTTCATTATCAAGTAGCAATGCGAAAACCTTGGTATATTCTTAGAAAAGGAAATCATGGTGAAAAAATCACAAAATACCAAATGGTATTCGACCTATTATGCAATTTTTCTATGGTACATTTAATTGACGGAAACAGCTCGCAGATCCGATGGAATGTTGATTGAGGTACGTCTTTGAAGATGACTTGAGTCGTGCTGCGTGACGATATACTACCCGATGCTTGTTATAAACATTTCTTAGCATTAACACGTTAAACGCCACGAGAATCATGAACGTTTTATACACGATTTTTTCGTTCGTAGCAAAGGTAAATAGGAACAATTATTAATTATTTGGCATCGGAATTCTTATATTACACCATTATTAACTTATTTTGTGTTATTAAATGTCTTTAGTTGACAGCAGTCGTCTTGCATATTGTAATTCTTTTCAAGCAACTCAGAAGCGTCGGTTATCAGTGACCGACACAGCATTTAACACGTTAAATAAATATTTTTAAATATATAATTAAATGATCATTTCAATTTTAGATTTATACAACTTTTAAAAATTGAACATATAAAATATAACGAAAAAAATATGTTTCCAGAAACTTCGGAATTTATTGTTTTATTAGTTTTCAAGACACTGAAACCGTTTCCGAAATAAATTTACACATTTGTTTACGATAACAGGCATTACGCAAGCAAAATGGAAAAGAATATATGTTGATAAAACAATTGTTTTTTCCAATGAAAATTTCAAAATTGACGGAAACATTTCACGGAATTGTGAGTGCTCACGTACATGTCGAAAAATTCCGTTTCTATTTCAGTTGTGAAATGAACGATTAATCGGTCGAAGGTAAATTAAATTGATAATAAGCTTCGGAGGAAAGTGAACGTAGAACAAAGCAATCGTTTCGTCAACTCCGCGACGCAATGGATCGACGTAACCGCAGGATGAAGTCATCTCGCAATGCAATGCAACTGCATTGACAATAAAAAGAAAAAGGAGGAAAAAAGTTCAGCGCAGCTCGAATTTACACAATCACGGGCAATCCGCGGAACTTTCGACTCGAAGATAAACACGATCCCCATTAGTCGTCGACGACCTAATTACCTCGGATACCATTTGTGTAAGAGCACTGCACGATCGATGACCCCGAGAGCCATTACTTAACATCATCGTTTGCATTTACGAAACATTGATAACGCTCTCGTATATTTTACGATTTAAATGTGCTTCAATTGAACGAAGTTTCACGCTTCGATGTGGACCGTAAATGTAATATTCTTGTTTGTCGTTTTCAAACGAAACTTTTCCCAAAAAAATTACAAATTTATTTGTTAATAAACAGAAGATATGTTTTATTTCGGATTCGTCTAGTATTGTTTCCTTGTCAAATTTTATGTAGATTCTGTGAAAATAGTTTTTGCTCAATTTGTATCACGTTATTAATATTAATAATAATATCTATGAATATTGTTATTATTATTAATTAATATTTATTTTTGTAATATTTTCGTTGACAACGAATTAACCAATTATTCTTTATCATAGACGACTTTTTTCGTAGAAAATACACGATCCGAATTTTCAAAGTGAAAGATGGGTTTGGCGAGAATAAAGATTGGAATGCGAGTGTTTTTGTAAAAACACAAATGGTGGACACGTTTATGAATCTCGGTCGAATCGAAGTGAAAGGAAAAGAGAACAAGGCGTACCGCTACTAATAAAGGATAATTTTCTTTGTGCCGCTTTTGAAAGCGTTAGTAACGCAATCGTAAAAGTAGACGGTTCTAAAGGCGAATGAATTATTTTTAACCGCATAAACAAAACGGTCAAACTATTATAGTCCATAGTTGCGCTTATTGCGTATTTTCAACTATACATAGA